TTTTTTTTTTTTTTTTGTGTCTGTTACCACTTTTTCTCAGCTCTCACAGAACCTATTTCTTTCAATGATACGTCAAAAGATCACAAATCGTATCTAGTCGAAAACATTACCCTTAAAAATTGCCCTAACTTTTTTAAAAATAAACATATCAATATAATTCTTTTTTTTATAGATGCATGATGTCCTTACCTATCATTTGGTATAATTTTTTTATAAATTTGACTTTTTACCTGCCCACAGGGGGGATTTAAAATGACAACTTTTTTACAAAAAATTAATTTTTTCAAAATAACTTTTTAAAGTGTTCCGGAAGGTCTGATACTTTTATATATATCTTAAATTAAAGCTAATGTAATATACTTTATCATGAAAAAAAAAAATTATATTGATATGTTTATTTTTGAAAAAGTTATAGCAGTTTTTAGTAAAAAAAATTGAAAAAATTTCGAAAATTAGCGATTTTTAAATTTGTATTTTTTTTAGAGGTTTCCCCCATTTACGGGGAACGAGGGAAATTTTTTCAATTTTTGAGGGTAATGTCTTCGTCTAGATACGATTTGTGATCTTTTGACGTATCGTTGAAAGAAATAGGTTCGGTGAGAGCTGAGAAATAGTGGTAACAGAAACAAAAAAATAGACAAATCAAAAAAAAATACATCATAGTAAAATTAATACCTTCTCAGCTTTGCATCGAAGCTAAAATAGATCAGATGATGATCTGTAGTTATAAGTAGGAACCCGAATTCCAATTTCTTGATCTATTGTTACTAAATATAATATAGTTTATTATTTAAGCTGGAAGTAAAACATTTTTGTAATATGTGATTTAATTGTAATTTCCTGAATTATTGTTAATAGATCAGGAAGTAAATATTTATAAAAATTTTTTGATTGTATTATTTATGTTGTATTCGTAAAATGAAGAAAAACAAAATATTTTAGTATATAAGACGAAATGAAATCAATTGTAAAAGAGAGGAGAGAGAAGCCTGGGAGCACCGAAGGTATTCTTTTTTCGCGTGGTACGTTTATGACATTAATCATGTATATGATGTATGATGTATGTATACAATAGATAATTACGCCTTACCCCTAGCCCAGCCATACCATAATTGAATGGGTTGCTAACTTGTCATAGAGTATTTAGCTGAAAGGTAAAGTAACCATTGGGATCCTCTATAGCACCTGGCGCACCATATCAATAGCCTTATCACAGTATCTAGCTTTGCTATAATGGATCTTTATTTCTTGACTACTTGCGTTAACTATATGGAAAAAAACCCAGCACAGTGGAGTCGCGGCA